TCAAATTTACAAAACTCAACTCGATTAAATACTCATATTTGGAACTGGATTGGCCAACTTGTAGGTTTTTCCTTCTGAATAAAAGAATAATTTTTCTACCATTGCTGACATTAGTTTCCCCACATCTCGTATGCCACATAAAAACGACAGATACCTTAATTGATGGATGAGGAGGTATAACAAAATTCTTGGGGAGGGAGAGAGAGAGATTGACGCACGTGCGTACGTCGGAGTACCAACAAATTCAAAGTAGATAAGTTTTTCATTTTGACAAAACCATGCTAATCATTTTTTTTTAAGACTCGTGGCAGCCAAGTAAACTTTGAACAGAGTAATGCAAGATAGATTTAAAAATTAAACTTAATAATCTCAATCATTAAATAGGTAGTGAGTCCCAATAAATATTGGAACCCACAGTAAAATCAATGATTGATATTATCAAATTTATTTTTTAAATATATTTTTTAAGTTCATGTAACATTGCTCCTTTGAATATATGCAATTACTTGTAAATTACGCTTTGTGAGTCAACAACACATCCTCAATGAGACTTAAGTCATAATAATTTATAGGTTTAATTACACTTGTAGTCCTTAATGTATGTATTTTATGTCATTTTGATCCTCAATCTCTCAATTACATCATATTAAACTCTCATATTTACAATTTGGTTTTAAATGGTACTCACCCATAATGCCGTCATGAATTCTGACGATTTTTGATCATGTGTTGATTATGTGTCTTACTCTGAAGATAAATTAATTTTATTGATATGATCTCTATAGTAAGATACGTGATCAACATGCATGATAAAAAAAACTGTCATAATTCATGACGGCGTTATGGGTGAAAACTATTTAAAATTAAATTACAAATATCAGGGATTAATATGATAAAATCAAATGACACAACATGCTTACATTGAGGACCATGGGTATAATAACCCTAATTTATATAATACTTAACCAAGATAACCTGTAAAACATATATCTATACTTGTGTTGTATTGGTTTTTCTCTCTCTTTCCTTCATTTTATTAAATGGAGGTTGTATATTCACACATCTTGTGCAAATTTCTTTTTTTTTTTTTTTAATTTTTATTTTAATAATCGAAAATTGTCCCAACCCTACATCGTCCGTGCAACTTTTTCAATCAAACACATCCATAACTACTCATTTGTAATGTAACATCAACTTTTTCTATTGAAATTTTATAGTTACATGACTGGAGGTTTTTTTAATTTTCAACGTGAAATGCATTGGAAAAGTTTGAGTCGTTTATCTGATCCTTGGTCCCACTAGTAGGTCATCGAAATGGCAATTGATCGGGTTGTTGAGAGGTTAATAATGGTTTAAGTGTAATTAAATTTCAATTCATTTGTATCCTGTTTAATTAATAGATTAAAACATACTGAATCACAATCCATAGTAACTTTTTCTGTTGAAATTTTATAGTTACATGACCAGAGTTTTTTCTCTTCAACGTGAAATGCATTGGACAAGTTTTAGCCATTTATCTGATCATTGGTCCCACTAGTAGGTCATGGAAATGGCAAGTGATCGAGTTGTTGCCGGGTTAATAATGGTTCAGGTGTAATTAAATTTCAATTAATTTTTATCCCATTTAATTATCAGATTAAAACATGCTAAATCACAAATTTATTCCCAATAACTTGAAAAATAAATTTTAAAAATCCAACGGTCAACCCCATGCAACCACCATTTCACAACAACTATTATCATGACAAGCACTATCACATCACTATCACCACCACCGTCACCACCGGCGCTCATGGAAACGAAGCCATGAACCCTGTTTATTAAAACGACATGCATTAGGGCTATAACACGTGTGTGAAATTTTATAATCTTTTTCATCAGCACTCCAAATGTTTGACCTTACAACCATTTCTTGACGTTGAAAGCTATGAATTGCATGTCAGATGTCACATCCATGGCTGCGTGAATTCTCTTCTAAAATGACGGGAAGGGATATCTATTGTATAGCGCTTAGCTTAACCTAGCAGTAGCTATTATAAAGAAGTCAAACCCATTGCAAAATGAACCGCATCGAATCAAACAATGGATTATCCTGGCAAAATTTATTGGTTCGTATAAAGAGTGTTTGACATAATCTTGAAAAGTTTTACGTGCACTTAGTCGTAAACTTAATTTGATTGATTAAACTATTCAAACTTAGGTTTGAATTAAAGCTCGCGTTTAATTAAGATCAATTCAACTTACTTATAAATATACATTGCATATGACGTATATAATGACATTTGTGTTTAAAAACCTAACAATGCAAAAAAAATCGGTGCTCGAGTTTGACTAATTTTATTAAACAAAATTTAAAATTTCAGTTAAAATTATTTATTTAATAAATGAACAAATATGAATCATCCCCGAGTTTAATTTCATTCACTGTTCATTTCAATTGGTCTTCCCCAAAACTGTGGTCCTCCCTTTGAGAAATGTCACAACTGCTTGCATGTACGTACCATTTTTTTATCATTTGTGTTCTTTTTGAGAAAATATGGAATCCCATGTAAACTCCCCTCAACAGCACTAAGATTAAGGTACTTGATGGGCGTGGACTAAGACCTAACTCATGTGGTGGGTAGGCTCTATTTGAAAAAAAATCCACTTATACGAAATTCAATGGGTCTAATCTAAGAGAGACCGACACTTTGTCAAGTTCATCAAGGCTCTAAGTGCCACATCATCAAGGAGTAGACAACACTATCCCAATAGTTTCATCCATGCCACCTTGGAGTACAGACCACGCTATCTTAAGACTTGGTCTTGAGGAGAGCTCCGCAATAGCCTTATCCGTTGCGAAAATGATGTCATATTCACCAAATTTGTCTTTTAGTTATTGATAAGTCATTTGAATCTGTTATGAGACAACTATAAAATGTATGTCTCGTCTACACCTGGGGGGCATCTATCACATCTAGCATCTTGCTTCTGAACTCTCATTGTTCTCACTTGAGCTCTCCACACTCCTACAACAATAAAACACCTAAGCCATCCTAGTCCATCACAGTAGAGTAGTTTTCTTTGATCGAACTACTTAAATTGTGTCTTGCTTGTATTGAGTTTTTTCTCTCTATTTTATTATCTGCATTAATTACTTGATAGGTGGTGTGCAAAACTAATTTGTGCATCATCAGTTTAGTGCCGTCTGTGAGAATCATCAAAATTATAATCTAATCACTTTCTCTTGCTGTACCCATGGCGATCACCATCAGATCCATGAATCAGCCCGAAAACAATCCATCACATGAGGAGGAGACTACCCTTCACCAACTAATCCTGCTCCAAACACCCAACAGATGCTGGAAACAATACAACAACTCGTAACTCAGAATCAGCAAATCCTGCAGCTAACGCTCGCCGGACAACAAAGAGGTATGCAATCGGGAGCACATCAAGCTAGATGAGCTCCTCGCCCCGAACGTCAAGGAGCTCCCCATTTGGGCGCCCTTTTAGGAACCCCTTTGGGTGCCCCTTACAGGGGAGTCCCTCATTAGAACCATGAAGGAGCTCCACCTCCTCCTCGAGCTCCCTCTTCCCACGGAGGAGATCCTCGTTTTCAGAAGATGTGGGCGAGAATCGAAATGTAGACCATGGGAGCCATTTTCATGACCAATCCAAATGAGTCCCTAATCATTGAGATGAGAAAATCAAGAAAGTACTGAATCAACTGGGTGATGTCTTCAACGCCATGAAGGCTCAAGGACCAGAAACTATTAAGTATCTTATAAGGCGCATTGACATGCCTTTCGTAGCCAATGTGAAAAATTATCCACTTTTTCAGAAATTTAGAATGCCATCGGTGGAAGCGTTTGATGGCACAAAAGACCCACTAGGATCACCTCAACACCTATAAGTCTCTGATGCAGCTGCACAATGTTCCTGACGAATCATGTGCAGAGCCTTCCCAACTACCCTAAAGGGATCTGCCTGAGAATGGTTCATCAAGCTTACCCCAGCCTCCATAAGCTCTTTTGCCGAACTAAGAAGATCCTTTGTGGCACATTGCATTGGTGGATGCCGCCACTAGAAGCTTGCCACCAACCTGTTTAGCATAAAACAGGATCGAAAATAAGAGTCTGAGGAGCTACCTTACTCGTTTTAACGAGGAGATCCTATAGATTGAGGAACCCGATGATAAAGTCAGCATGACCACATTCCTGAGAGGCCTCCATTCGTCGAGCTTCCTCTTCTCAGTGATGAAGCGTCCACCAAAGAACATGCCAGAACTATTGACAAATGCTCAAAAATATATGAATGCTGAGAGCATCAACAGGTCCAGGCGAGATGAATCATCTCACAGGTCTCCAAAAGCTTGAACTATCTCTGTTCTGCTCTCAAGTAGGCAGTCTATGCCTCAACTTAGCCGCATTCTCACAGGTCGCCAAAAGCTTGCCCTATCTCTGCTCTACTCTCAAGCAGACAACCTATGTCTCTAACTTAGCGGCTCTCTTACAGGTCACCAAAAGCTCGGTCTTAAGAGGTGCAACTCTCTCATGTGGGCAATTCACAATCAACCTACCTCCAGCTTAACAACACTCTTACGAGTCGCCAGAAGCTCGATCTCAAGAGGTGCATCTCTCTCACGAGCAACCTCAAACTCTGTCTTTACTCTCACGCAAACAGCCTCTATTTCTCTACAAGTCGATGTATCGCCCCTCTTTTCAGGTAATCATGTTGGATATTTTGATATTTGAGTAACATTATTTTTGTTATCTCTAGGCACTCAGATAGTCTGCAGCCCGCGAGACTACATTAAATGAATGTTAATAATCGGGTATCATCCTTTTTGCAACCATCCAACATTATCACCTCGTTGCCCAACGCTCCTGCGCTTAACACTTAGTGCACACAAGGCTAGTTAGCCTTCCCAACATTAAGGATTTGGCACCTGCTTTTGGGTACTAGCTCTCCTACTCTTAACGCCCTCTCCTAGTGCCCAGATCTGTGCCTGCACGTATTCATGTGCCAACACCAACCATGGTGCCTCGAGCACGCACGACCATGTTTAGGTTAGCTCCTGCACCCCCAAAGCTCTGTGCCTGGAAACCACCGTGCACGACACCATCTACGGGCTCCATCACCTACGCCCGTCGCCTAGCAGCACCCCTTCTTCACAATCAACAGGGTCGCCAACCCCTTACGACCATGGTGCCTTGGCGCCTGGCTGGGCTACCTCGCTTTTGGAGCCGAGTTGGGTCGCCTCATCAACGGTGTCTATCTGGGCCACCTCACATTCGACGCCCAGTTGGGTCACCTCGTGTACAACACCTGAGCTCGTCTCTCTGTATTTGACGCCCAAGTATGCCAGCCTTGACATGCTCCGATCACCCTGTTCAATTGATAGTGCCCATGGCGCCTTTCCAGACGGAGCCTCACCCAACAACGCCACACCAAGTGGTATTTTCCTCGCCTCGCCTGGCGGCGCCCATGGCACCTCGCCCATCCTTAAGGCCTGGTTCTACCTTTGGCGCCTCACCATTGAAGCCTATGGAGCACCCAGACTCACTAGCACCAACTGCTTTGTCGACGCCAGCCTGTGTGCCAACTTCAATGCCTATTTTTTCGTCGTTGCCTATCTCCTCTCTGATGTCAATAACTTCTTGTGTCTCCTCTCCTTCATCCAAGAAAGGTCTCTAGTCACCTAGCTCATGGCAAGGAATGTCTTATAGGGAAGAACCGTATCAAGAAGGAAAATGGGTCATCAGTCAAAAGGAGTCTTCGTCGACCAGAGTCCAAATCCCGCTAAATGCCCTCTTCTCCAAGTTTTAGTGGACTCGGGGCATTGAGGGGCAAATGATAGGCTAGGACCAAGACCCAACTCAAGTTGTGGGCCCAACTTGAATAAAGGATCTACCTATACGAAACTCAATAGGTCCAACCCAAAAGTGATCTACGCCTAGTCAGGCTCAACAAGGCTCCAAGTGCCAAATTATCAAGGAGAAGACAATGTCATCCCAAGAGCCTCATCCACGCCACCTTGGAGTACGGACCATGTTATCCTAATACCTGGTCTTGAGGAGAGCCCTGCAACAGCTTCATTCGTTGCGAAGATGATGTCACCTTCACCAAATTAGTCTTTTAGTTATTGATAAGCCATTTCAATCTGTTAGTAGACGACTATAAAATGTATGCCTTGCCTACACATGGGGGGCATCAATCACATCTGACATCTAGCTTCTGAGCTCTCCACACTCTTACAGTAATAAAACACCTAGGCCATCCTAGCTCTTCACAACGGAATAGATCACTTTGATCGAATCACTTAAATTGTGTGTTGTTTGTGTGGAGTTTTTTTTCTCTATTTTATTATTTACATTAATTACTTGACATGTGATGTGCAAAACCAATTTGTACATCATTAGTACAGAATAAAAAAATTTTGGTATCATATCACTAAATTTTACAAGTTTTATGGATTGATATACACGTTTTTATGTTTATTCATGATAAAAAGAAATTACAACTTTTGAGGTCATATTATAACTTTTGTGGGTTATTTACAATTTTTTTTTTATATTTTTGGTTCAACTGTCAATGATGTCAGGGCTAACTTATGCACATCTCGACTAATCCCCTCTCTCATCTAATCAAATGCAAGCTATCCACCCTGGAACTAAAATATTCATAAAGAATAATTTCCTCATAATCTAGTCTCAAAAGGTGGTCAAGAATTCAACTCAGAATGTTTGAGTTTACAATTCGTCCATGTTAGCACTTATATACTTTAGAGTTTGTTGTTTACAACTTTTGAGGTTACTTGCACTTATAGCTTTTGTTAGTTCTTTACAATTTTGGGAAAAATTCAGTTCACTCCCTTGTAGTTTGGATATTTGCACATGACCCCCCTATGGTTTGAAAATCAGCACATTACCCCCTTATACTTTTGGACTAAAATGCTATTGTTAGTTTTTTCGTTAGATTAAACCATCTGTGACATACACGCACCCAACAGAAGGTTTGACGCAACAAAATGTGTTTCCCTCCAAAAATAGGCACAATAAAAGTACAATAATACCATTCCTCGATCTCCATCTTCCTGAGCAGTTGACTCTAAAATTTTTCTCCAAACAATAATACCCTTCACCAACATCACCAATCCACCTTCAACAACCCGACTGGGCAACACCACTACCTCCATCATTCCTACTATGCAACAACTCAAATTGCCACAAACTCTGCACATTCCACTAAATTACCACCCTATTGTACACCACCACCATTGCCACCACTTTAAAGCCAAGTTCAATCAACCAAGTAAGACACCAATAATAACATAGATCAACGAAGACCAAGAGGAAACAAAGGAAAACAAGGGATTCAGTTTATCCCTGGGACACTGAATTACAAAGAGAATTTCCTCTCACGAATTTCGACGAGTTGCTTCCTAGAATCCTTGCTTCGATTAGGGTGATTGGAGGTTTGAGTTTGTGCTCTGTAAATGAGTAGTATGGTCGTGACTGTGATGGTTGCCCAAATGGCTGTGATTGTTGCCCTGGTGACAGTGATAATTGGGCGAAAATGGATCGTTGATTTATTAGTTATAGAGAAAGACACAGAGAGATAGAGAGAGAATTGCCAATAATGACAGAAGGGTGGTGAGAGAAAGGGACAATGAGGTTGTTGCTTAGAGAATGAGAGAAGGGAGAGGGGGTTACTGATGGAGAGAGATGATAAAGAAAAGAGAGAGGGGGCAGTGGCATTGCTGGGTCAAAGAGACAGAGTGAGAGAGAGGCAATATTCATCAGAAAATTACCAGCGCCACCGCCTACGGAGGAGCTGCTGGTGACGCCAACTCCACAAGGAAAATATTTTTGGCGAAGATTTGGGTGGTCTCATTTCATTTCTCTCTCTTTCTTCAAGAATTTTGAGTTTTTGGGTGTTGGAAAACTCAGGAATTAAAGGAGGGTTTCAATGGGTAAAAAATCTGAGCATTGGGGATTGGGGAAAGGGTGCTTGGTTTTTCACTACTCTCAGTTGTTTGTTAGAAAAAAAAAGAGAGAGAGATAAGATCAAGCAAATACATTTTTTTTTAATTATAAAATAGTTAAACAAATTTTTATAGTCTGGTTCCGGAATCAAACAACATGTACATGTAACTTTATATGGTTTTACTTTGTTAATTTTTAGTATTATATTTTTATTTTTTATTAATTAAAACAAAATAAAAAAATTAATAATTTTTTTTGTTAAATAGATTGATTAGATCATTTATAATATTATTTATATTAGAGCATGCTAAAAAATAAACTATAACATATTTGACCATAAAATTCAATCAAACCTTATACATGTTATTTTTTCATATAAATATAGAAGATTATATGTAACTATACTACTAATACATAAGTTCAAAAGAATTTAGAAGTCCTTATAAAAGAGTTCAAATAAAATTGGAAGTCAAATAAGAGTAAAAAAACAAAAATGAGATGAAAGTATATATGTGGGCATAGTTGACTTTATTATAATAATTAAAGGTAAAATAAAAAATTAATTTTTTTTTCTAAATACTGACATTTATAAGTATCAAACTCTTCTTCCAGAAAATTAAAAATCAAGTTGAACAAGACTTGTTGTAGTACGTGGCATCAGAATTTTTAATCAATACATAACATGTGGCCTATTTTGAGGTTTAATGGTTGAGATTTTGAGGGTATTAAAGTCATTTTATCACTTATGTTAACGGTGTTAATTGTGCATATCGGTCCAAAAGCACAAGGGGGTAATATGTTAATTTTCAAATCATAAGAGAGTCATGTGTAAAATATCCAAATCACAAGAGGGTAAACTGAATTTTGCCCTCCAATTTTTGAGGTTCATCTGTGATCAGTCCTAAAATTGATCGGAAATGATCCTTAAAAGTTATGAATAATTCTCAAATCTTGTAAATAATACTTAAAAATTGTAAAAATAAATCACAAAACTTAAAAGTGAGAGAATTGAACAAGGCAATGTGGTCAAGATTTTTGGTCATTCAAGATTGGGGTACAAAGGGAAGTGCCGTTTCATAATCAATTCATAAAAAAAGGTTTGAATTAGAAATTAATAGTGATTACGCGCTCGTGAACGGATCCAAGGGGCGGCAAAAGTATATTTTATTGGGACTGCTCTTGTAAACTATAAGGAAAAAAAAAATTAGAGGAGAGCGAGACGATATAGTTTAAAAGTATTCAAATTAAAAATACTATATAAAAAAAAACTGAGATTTTTGGAATTTTGAAAGGACAATCAGTGCCCCATGTGATCCATCTTTATTTATGGTTGATTGCTTATTTTCTAGGATAAATGTAAAAAATGATTATTTTTGTCTTTTGGGAATTTTTTCAAAGCGAGGAAAAATTGTATAATTGCCTATAACATAATTCAATCGTCATCGACGTTTATGTATAGTTCAAATGGTTGAGTATGAACTCTGGTAATTCAAAATTGTGAAGTTCAACATTTTTTTTATATTCAGGGAAACAAGTCAATCACTATCCATGAGCAGCTTCTTCAAGATTGCACTTGTGACAACCGAAATATACTTCATTTTTTTTTCTAACAATAAGAATATTTAGACCAACTTGCTCGCATATTGATTAATCTTCTCTTTGATCCGTCCGGTAAAAGATGGACCATTCACATAGAGATTAAAATAAATTTTTTATTGTTTAATCCCAAAAAATTTTCAAAATTCAAACTCAAAATATTTGAATTTATAACTCATATCTGTTAACATTTAGACTATCTTTAGAGTTCGGAAACATACTTCAAAGTGTTGCGAGCTTTTGAAGTTCCATAGGAATTAATTATTATTGCTTTCCTACAAATCAATATTAATTTATATATATAATAAAACACATAACATTTTTAAATTTTTATTCTTTACATATTTTCTCGCTTATTTTTATCACATCATCTATTTCTATTACAAGTTAAATCATTTAATTTTTGTTTAATTTTGTAATTTTTTTTTATAAAATAATGAGTAAAAATTAATTTCGAATCACATAAATAGAAAGAAAAATTAAAAAAAAAATTATTATTTAATATAGTGATATCGATTTTATAGGCAATTTATTATTTACATTGTGGCTTTATTTATGTACATAAGTTAATGACTCGTGGTTATTGACTAAACATGTGTTTTAAACACAAGTTAATGAGTCATGGTTAATGACAAATTCAAATTTAATACTTTTGACGAGATGTGATTATACAATCAAGTCTTCGCTTTAAATCACTTCGTCAAACGTAGACGAAATCAAAAGTGATTTTTGTTTTGCTTTGTCCGTTTCTCAAATTCGAAGTCAAAAATCATTTGGAGTCAATTTTTGTGGGTTGTTTATCACGGTTTAATCAAGTTTTTGGTAGATTTGTGGGTCAAAAAGCGAAATTTATATCACATATAAGGTGGATTTGATTTTGATCTGAATCTAAGTTTGATTAGTCGGGTATAAATTAATATTTTTTTACTGGTAACCAAATCCAAATTTGAATTACTGGATATGAATTGATTTTTTTTACCAATAACTTGAATTCGATATCTTTTATTTCATAAATTTAGATTTAAATATATTTATATCTGATCTGATTATGATCCGATTAAAATTATTTTATATATTTATATAAAATTTTAAAATCAAGTGATTATTTAAAAAAATTTAGATATAATTTATTAAAATTTTGTTTATTAAATTATTCAAATTAAATTGAATTAAAATTTTAAATTCTAATATAAATTATAAAAATAAAATTTATCGAATTATCGGATAACGAGGGCGGTGGGGGTGGTATGTTATGAATGCCAGGAAATATTGAGTGGTCTTCAGCTGGAATCCAGCATTACATGGCTGAAGCGGATTTCTGTAGATTTCAGTGGGACTGTTCCGTGGCAGAGTGTATGGCATATTTGCAATACAATAACTAGGCCATGTGTTTAATGCAGTTTCCTGTCTATTCTCGTTGGTTCTCGATCCAAATCCTCTCTAATGTATATATTTTTTAATTTTATTTTTTAACAAATTATTTTATTTTTTTTTATTTTTTTTATCAGATTTAACAAATTATTTTCACTTCCTTGGATAACGATGCAAGTGAGATTAAAAAAAAAAAGAAAAAAAACACATAAATGTGAACACAAACGTTATGGAAAAACTGGGCACTCAAACAATAATCCAATAAACATGATTAAAGTAAACAATAAAGACAATAACACAATAACAAGGAATGAGGGGAGACTTTGGTTTTTACCCCAACTTTCAATCAAACTTTTCTTCACCAAATTAGGGTCAATTACACTACATATCCCTTAAGTATAAAATTTATTTTATTTTAGTTTTTAATATTTTATTATATTATTTTTAATTTTTGAAGTATTGAATATATTCCTATGTGATCTCTCAAACACACAACATCTAAATTGCTAATAATTTTTTATCATAAACTTATTATGTGATGCCTAAAAATGTGCAATATGGGTAACTCTTGACCAAAATTTGGATAGCTCTTAATCAAAATTATATAATTTGGATAGTTCTTTAACTAAAATTTGAGTAAAATTTTGGTTAAGAGTTATCCAAATTATTTTTTTGTCAATATTTTAGGTATTATGTGATAAATTTATAATAAAAAAATCGTTAACAATCTTTAACCCTATTTGATTAAAGAACTACATAAAAATATATTCAATATTTTAAAAACTAAAATAATACTCACTCCGTTTCTAAATATTTGTCGTTTTAACCAATTTTTTTTATTCCATAATATGTGTCGTTTAATGAAACCAAAACATTATTAATATTTTTTTTTCCAAATTTACCCTTAACTTTTCAATGCATTAGATTAGGTGGAAGTTAAGTGCCTTTCATATTCATTTCTTTACCACTACGTATTGAATAAGTGTATTTTAATGTTGTGCAATTATTTTTCACTCATATTAGAGCTATTTAATAACTTTCTTAATCTTTGTGTAAAAATTTTAAACGACATATATTTAGGAACGGAGAGAGTATAATTAAAATATTAAAAATCAAAATGAGATAAATTTTATTCTTTAGGGATTTTCAATGTAATTAACCCCCAAATTATAACAATTTACACTTTGAGGGCCCTATGTGGAGCCCATTGTCAACCCATTTGCTTTGCTGGCTTTCAGCCGTCGATTTTGTTGGTTTGTCTGCCCGGAAAGACTACGGAGAGAGAAAGCGAGGAGAGAGAAACGAGAGTTTTTCTTCAGTTCGTTTAATATCAGTCCAATTGAGAAAATTCGTTCTCCATCTTCTTCTTCCTCGTCTCTCTCTCTCTCTGTTCATCAGCCACAACCAGAAAAACAAGAGGAGGGAGAAAAACAAAAACACTCACAAACAGAAATCCTCCATATATATATATATATACCTATGGAGGTGATTTGATGGATCTACAGATCTAACTCGCTTTCATAATCAAATGGATTGCTTTATGTCTTTCTGATCTCCGGCCTTCCCCTTTGTGTGGTTCAATAACTGACCAGAAACCATAACAGAAAGGCCTAATCATATTGTAAGTATTATATCTTCATTGTATTTAGAAGAAGAATACCTGTGAGGTTTATGTGATTGCTGGTGTTCTAGAATTTTGTAGCTGTGTTTGAGCGTTAAATTTTTCTTGGTATTGGTAGGTCTGACCAAACAATTGTCTGATTATAGTGTGGACTGTGATGGTAGATTTGACTCTTGTTTCTTGCACAATAAGCTGTCGTCTTTGCTACGTCTTCAATTTTTTTAGAAATCGTTAGGATATGGGTCATGGTTCTGTTCTTTTTAAGGTGAAATAGATGTGGGTTTAGATTTTATATATATTTAGTTGAATTTACTAGGAAAGCTATTATCTGTCACCGGTTCATTGATTGTACTGTCTATTTTGTTGTGGTGATGGTTTTCATAATTGCGCTTTGATTAGTATTCTTTTCTTGTTATAGTTCTGTCTTTGGTCTGTAAGGAAAGAGGCTGGTGGGAGGATTTTAGTTGGAGTGCTCCTTGCATCCATTTTGGATGTTGAGAAATTGAAGGTAATCCGGGGTGAGATGAGGGATGTTATCAAGGTTGATAAATTATTTGAAGGCCTGTTGGTGTCGGTCATCGGAGCGATACGTGCACTCTGGTTCAGACACTGCCGGCCGGCAAGATGGGCTTCTTTGGTATAAGGACAGTGGACAGCACTTGCTTGGTGAATTCTCGATGGCTGTTGTCCAGGCTAACAATTTGCTCGAGGATCAAAGCCAGGTTGAGTCTGGTTCCTTGAGCTTGCTTGATTCTGGCCCATATGGAACCTTTGTTGGTGTATACGATGGTCATGGTGGCCTGAGACTTCCCGCTACATCAATAACCATCTTTTTCAGCATCTCAAGAGTAAGTGGGATTCTCCGGAGCATGATTAAGTCTTTAATAGCAGGCTGTTGTGTAGTTTACTTTCAGTTCAACCTGTTATTAGGATTAGGAAGCTAGCTGTGGCATAGAATTCATGTCATACTTTGTGGCTGTGTTGGAATACGTAACTAACACAGTTTCAATACCTATGTGGTTGCAATTGGCATATTGCAGGATTCACCTCAGAGCAAGAGGCTATGTCAGTGGATGTGATTCGAAAGCATTTCAAGCAACAGAAGAGGGATTTCTATCTATTGTTACTAAACAGTGGCCAATGAACCCCAGATGGCTGCTGTTGGTTCTTGTTGCCTAGTTGGTGTGATCTGTGGAGGGACCCTTTACATCGCCAATCTTGGTGATTCCCGTGCTGTTTTGGGGAGACTTGTCAAGGCAACTGGGGAGGTCCTTGCGATACAGTTGTCAACAGAGCATAATGTGAGCATAGAGTCTGTCAGACAGGAGTTGCATTCTTTGCATCCGGATGACTCGCAGATAGTAGTCTTAAAGCATAATGTATGGCGTGTAAGGGGCCTGATACAGGTGAGCTCTTTGATTGACTGCATCAAAAATTATGATTGAAGTTGATTTGCTTAAATATGTTTTAGTTGAACTAGAACCTGCTTACTTTCCTCGGGTGGACCAACCTCCAACTGACGGAGGGCAGCGCTGATTATTCTAATCTCTTGTTATTTCTCTTCCAGACCAGAAAAAACCTTGTCAGTATGATATTTCTAAGAATACAATACATTCAGTAGTTTACTGTCGTTGCACTCCTCTGACTTCCATTATCTTGTTTATCATCGTTGTTGAAAAGAGTTATGTTATGTGCATCATGTTTTATGCTAAGTGGTTTCTATGATTGTTTAGGGGGGATTTTGAGCTCTGGCATTCATGTTAAGTAGATGTTTTGATAAGTTAGCATGCTATCTGTTCAATTGAAAGTTGGAAGCGAAGCTGGGGCTTTTAATATTTGACTTTGTGTGTTTTCGTTTCTGCACCCTTTCTTATCTTTTTTGCTTTTTAGCTTGAAGAAATAGATAAATGCACCAACTATTTTTCTGTATCATTTAAAGCTTCTAATGACAGTGATATCTTATCTATATAAACTATTGATGCAGCAGTCACAAAGCAAAAAGAATGAGAAGGAGAAAGGAAGAGAGAGCAGAAAGAAGAGCCTGAGAAGTTGACAGACAACATATATTCGACTCAATGCTATGATATCAATCAATATAGATGTTCCCGATTTACAATAAGCCTAGTATTTATTGGTTTCTCTGAAAATTTTAAAATATGGAAATAAAAATTAAATCCTGAAATTAAAGGATTACCTGATTCAAATCCTTAATAGTAGATTAGGTTCTGAGTCTTACGTTTTGTCTCAATTGGTGAAATCTCTGCCTTGGTTATCAGCAATCCTCCTTAAACTGTGTCATTGGATCCTGGGTTGAAGGGAAGAGTTCCAACAACTGTGTTCATTGTCCTACTTAGGTTGTCTAGCTGCATGGGTTTTGTTTGGGTGTAAAGGCAGGTTGCTGTTGATTCTATGGAAAGGATAGGTTTAGTTAGGTGCCTTTCTTTCGATTTCCTCGGTCTTCATCATCTTCTTTTTCACACTGACTCCTCCTTTTTTCAAAAATTAGAGCATCAAAGTTTAAGAGCGCACAATTGCCGGCCACTAGTGCTGTAAACTACTACATGGATAAGTAGGTTTCATCTTATCATGAGGGTTGAGTATGAATTTTTAGTGTTTGTCTCTACTCCTGTAGTTCTCCCTTGTGCTCTGGGCTTGTTTACTATTGGGCGGATTATATGTGCGCATCCTGTATATTTTGGATGCGATATGCCTTTTAAGTGGATACCCTTAATTAGGGTAAATCTAACTTTTTCTGTGGAGAGATACTCTAGAACAAAAAGTTTTTGCATCGGTTGAATAAAAGAAATACTTGAGATCGGAGATGCAATTTTGAGTGAGGTATGGCAAAATTCATGGCTGCTGCAAGTACTCACTCAAAAATGATTGTTATTCTTAGATTCAATCATCTTGGAGTGTTGCATCAGAAAAGGTGTTCCTTAGGGAAGCTACTCTAATCTCTCTTCTTGGTCACTGGTCAACAAAGGCCCAGTTGCATATTGTGTCATTTCTTTGCACTTGCCTACTCTCTCACTTTACTCTTCTTAGTGGTGTGATACAATGTTTTCCAGTGCATGCCACACTATAGAGTAGAACCTCCAAGTTTCTAACCATCATGTCCATTACATTTTTGTTTACAACTGCATGAATTTGGAAAAAATCCTACGTTTGTGTTAGTTTTTTCAGCCACTTGTTGGTACGGGAATGCCCACTTTACAGTGTTCAAATGCTAGACTTACAGAAATGTTTATTCCTAAATGGCAGGACATGATTATGGTGACATCGATGTGTCTTTTCTTTATTTGTCGGAATTTGTTGTTGCAGATTCTTCTAGATCCATTGGTGATGTGTACCTTAAAAAACCTGAATTCAACAGAGAGCCTTTGTATGCAAAGTTTCGCCTTCGTGTGAACCATTTAACAAGGCCCATCTTGAGCACTGAACCATCCATTTCTGTGCATGAAGTCCAGCCACATGATCAGTTCTCATATTTGCTTCTGATGGCCTTTGGGAGCATCTTAGCAATCAGGAAGCTGTTGATATTGTGCAGAATCACCCTCACAATGTAAGATATTTATCCGCTGAATATGGCTTTCTTATTTAGTTGATATGGTTTTTAACTATTTCCGTCAATTGGAATTTGAAGTTACTGATAAGATTTCGTGGGACTTGAAGAGTGATCTTCCTGAATTATTGGTATCATTTAACACTCAAATGAATTTTGTCTTGTTAGGTTGACTGGTAGCCATCATTCTAGGTCTCTACATTCGTCGAGTTAAATGTGCCAATAACTATTGCATTAGTGCTGTAATACAATATATTTCATACATGAATTTTATGTACTGTTAATTCCATATGCTTCTGTTAAGTGATTTTTTAATTTCTTTGTCCTGATATTAAAGATATATGCTTTTGGTTCTCACAATTTAATTTTATTGAAGCAATCATAACTATTAATCTATTTTGGCATAACACACATGTTTGACCTACAATATAAATAATGATTTACTTATTTTCTAACATCTGGATCGAGTAGAA